CATCATCACCATCATCATGTATCACCATCATGTATCATCATCACAATCATCATATTTTATCATCACCATTACTATTGTCTTCATCAATCATCATTCTATCATCATGTATCACCATCATCATGTGTCATCATCACCATCACCATTGCATTTATCAATCATCATTCCCATAAATTATGTAACAACAAAGAGGTCAGGTCATGGTTTGAACCCACAACCTTGACTGAATTAGACAACTGCTCAAGCTCTATGATAGAGAACAGGCTCTTAGCTTAACATCATGTGATGATAGGATTGGTGCAATATACTTCCTAATAAATGTAACTATTCAATGCATTCCTTACTTTGTCATTTGCTTTCGCCGTTCATATTCTTCTATATACAGCAGAGTATGTAACCTGTGACAATAGTTTACCGGTGACAATATGTCATCCATGTGATCAAATGAGCCGTACTCCAGAGCATTTTTCATGTTAGAGGGGAGGGAATAAGAAGATTTGCTCATTCCTGAAATTGAAGATTAATGTTGACAACGATTAGGTTAAATTCTGCAATTTTTGTATGATTGATAAGTTTTTCATGATATGTAAGCCTTACACTCAGCCTTAACTGTTATCAATACACCCCTAAATGACAACTACAGACACCCTAATTAGAAAATACATGTATTCAATAAAACATAACTTCCTTTTCCACTGTTAGCCCTAACAAAACTACAGTCATTGTTTAAGCGTAGTTGTCACTAGCGACATAAGCATTGAACATAAGCATAAGGATCAAAACGTTCTGTCCTCCTTATCAATCAATCAATCAATCAATCTATCTATCTATCTATCTATTTATCTATATTTAGTACCAAAATTGCAAAATTACATATATTAAACTACAAAAAAATACAGAAAATTGGTACAAGCCAGCTGTAATAGCCACAGGCTAAACAAGACAGTTGGCAAATTATAAGTTTTACAGTAACATATTTTTTGGTCAATAGAGGTACATAAAAAAAGAAAGAGGAGAGCAAAAAATAGTTGCCTAATATATGTGACGAAGTATAATGTTTCTATTTACAATCTTATGGTGATGCTTGTGTCTTTGAATTTCCCTTTGATATCAGTGGTTTGAATTTCCCCTAAATATCCTGGATTCTCCCTTGTATGATGTACAGACATACTTACCATCATCTACCTTCCCATCATACATAACCAGTGGATACTTGCTTAGCCAGGCCAATTCATTCTCCTCCTCACAAGCAATTTTAAACGTCAGCTGTTTCACCAGACTCTGCTCAGGAGCAACCATCACCCCAAGGTTACGAACAATCTTTGGATTAGATCCAAAATCAAAGACAAGGTGCTGATAGAAGTTACCATAGCTACTAGAAACAAACTGTACTGTAACCTTATACTCTGAAGCTGGTTCTTTGAAGTTGTTTAACCATTCCTGAGAGTTTGCAGGCAGCGTGAGTATTGGTTTGTCAGTTGAGGAGATATTTGTGATAGAGAATTCTGGTAGAAATGGGTCCAACATGAAGACATGTTTTAGCTGGCACCATGGCCCAATGAGAGACTGAAAAATGGGGAGAAATTAAATCAGAAATTTATGAACATACACATACTGATTTTTTGTTCCAAATTTAAGGGTTCAATCTGTGAGTTCATTGTGCCCTAGCTTACATCAGCCCTGAGGTTGTTTCAGGGTTTGATCTGTGAGTTAGCCATGCCCTGACTTAGATCAGCCCAGAGGTTGTTTCAGGGTTTGATCTGTGAGTTAGCCATG